AGTCCTGCTCTCCGAGATTGAGAAAAAAAATTGTTCTCTTTAGCAGCGTCATGTGGGATTAAAGGAGCTGCTTAAAGGAATGAAATGTGCTGTTAAAGTCGTGTCTCCTGTGGGTCGTTACAGTCATAGAAATAAAAWTATAAATCATATTCATCTCTCTCTAGTCCAGCTCCGGTTTTTCTTTGGTCAAATATTTTTAATTTAAGTGTAAACACCTGTGTTACTGTGTTTACATTTATTCAGAAGAAGGGTGGTTGCGCACCGCTACCCCCCACCCCCCGCCTGCCCGTCTCCCCCTTCCCGGCGGTCGCAAGTGACAGACCCGGTTCTGAAAAGACGCGTCTTAAAATGTCTCCAAACTTCAATTAATGCATAATTTAAGTTGTTTTTATTTTGTGATCTTCATATTAGTATTGTAGTGTTATACAACAGCATTAAAAGACAATTTAACTTAATCTAATCAATTTATGTCGTTAAAATCTAATTCCAATTCAAACAGAATAACCTATTGTCAACATAATTATGGATTGTGGTTTATTTTCAACTCGAAATATTTTCTAAATAACTAGGGGTGTCCCGATACCAGTTTTTTCAAGACTGAGTACAAGTACGAGTACTTCAGTTTAGGTACTCACCGATACGATACTGATACCAAGTAGCGGGGTTCATGTGGATTATTGTTATTATATAATATATTACTAAGCACAGTAACAGCCACTTTCTTAAGGTTTGGGAACTGGTGAACATTTATGTCACTCCAAAACTTAATCGTCCATTTGTGCGCAGCTCTTCAGGCAGCGACAGTGATGACTGCATGTCCACAAGTTCAAGAACGAACTCCCCCTCCTCACTRGAAGGGACCACTCCCTTTGCGCTGGCGTAGAGATTGTTGTCTGTAGCAAGAGCAGCAAATGGGTCTTTGGTAAAGCGCATCACCTCTGTGGGGAGTGAAAGGCCATTCAGTCGGCTGGCAAAGTTGCCTTTTAGTTTTGCAACTAAATCCATCATCACTGCTGTGAGAGCTGCCGTATGTGTGATGCATTTGCGTAGCGTAGGAAAA